CCATGGATCTTTTTATACGTTTATAATTTATATAATATAAGTATTGCAAAATAACGTGATTTTTTTTTTGTATATAAAATTATATTGTACAACAAAATTGCTTTATACGATATTTCGTGAGAATCACAAAATTTGGATTTCACACTGGCAAAAAATGAGTTATGTAAAAAGGTGAACGTTTAAAAGTTAATAAAAAATATTGACGAAAAATAAGTTAATTAAAACATAACAAACAAACTAGCTCAGACAGTAATTCAAAGTACAAAGAAAAAAATCCAACTGAGGCTTGATGTCTGTAACGTTGTGGTATTAATGATAGAAATTTTAGAGCCCATGAATTCAATAATGTTATGAATGGAGTTTTTAAAAAGACTTCCTTATTAAAGAATAAAAAGAATAGATTTTTATTAATTTGTCCATGCTAGCTCAAACTAGCTCAAAAAAAAAAAAAAAAAAAAAAAAAAAAAAAAAAATTGATCCATTGTATGAAAACATTTTTATTTTTATGTTAAAGTAATGAAAACACTATTGTACAAAAAAAAGTTTTAACTTCTTTTACTTTTAAACTGTATCATTCAAGTCTCAAATTCAAATAAAGATCTAATTATTATATGATCTTATTTTTCTGATCTTACCGACATGGCTTTCTCCATTCGTACAATAACTAGCTAGTTACGCATGGGAGCAAAAGTGTTACTTTGGAGAGAAAAAAAAGGGAGATTGACACAAATAGCCCCAAAAAAGTTGTTTTTTCCAAAAATAGCACCTCATTTGAAAAGTTCCACAAATAGCACCATAAACTTCAATTTTTTTTTTTTTGTCAACAGCTTAAATTAAACGCTCAAAAGAGCCATTCCTGCGGAATGTTGTTTACATAAGTGATGTGAAGCGGTTCGGTACGAACTTGTCGAGCCAATTTATCCGCTTTTACATTTGCGCTACGAGGAATTAAAGATAAAGAAAAACTTGAAAATTCTTCCCTGTCACTCTGAAAGTCCTCCAGGTACACTGAAAAAGCCGGCCATTCGGTAGGAGAAGACACCATCTTCACCAAATCTGAACAGTCTGTAAAGAAAGCTACATCTTGGTTGTCAGCACCAATCATACACTTCATCGCCCAAAGAAGAGCTTCGACTTCTGTATGTAGAGGAGATAGACTTCTACGGATGTTGGCAGCTCCCATGGTTGGCATCTCTCCATTTGATGATGTACAATACCATCCTGTTCCTGAAAAAGTATCGGTTCCTTTCCATGATCCATCTATGAAACAACGATATCCTGAATAGTTAGAATCCAGTGAGGTTTCCCTCACTCGATTTCGATTTTCATTATCGAAAAAATCATGGTTATCAGTATGAAGCTCAATTTGAGCTAACTGCCACGATTGCGCCTCTTTCTCCGCAAAGCGTAAGATCTCTAATGGATCTTTATCCACATTGTCAAAGAATTTTTCATTCCTTGCTTTCCAAATGTACCAGATTATCCATGGATAAGAAGATGAATCTACCTCTGAAGGTATTCTCCAAAATAAGTGATCCAAGTTCTCGTAAATAGAAGCCGTAGGGAAAATTCCCGGTACCGAAGGAATTTGAGAAAGAGCCCAAATTTGTCTCGCTGGATGGCATTCAAAAAGTGTATGGTTAATTGTTTCCTCTATGGCGCCACATTTAACACATCCGGTATCACAATTTATACCTCTCTTTCGCAAATTCTCTGTAACCGGTACACAACCTGATAAAATTTGCCACAGAAAATGTCGTACCTTAGGTGGACACTGCACCTTCCAAGCATATGCTTTTAAAGGTTTTATATCCGGGCCAAAAGATCTTGAACTGGCATCCAAATCCTCTATCCGAGCCGTATGGTAACCAGATTTAACTGTATATTTTCCAGATTTAGTGTAATGCCAACCAAGGGTATCCTCTTTAGTTGACGCACCCAAAGGCAAGGCACTAATCAGCGCGACATCTTCTGGATCAAAGAGCTCCCTTAAGAGATCCATGTTCCAAAAATTTGACCGGCTGTCGACAAGGCTATTAACTTTTAAAGATGGGTCAATAAATGAACCATTACTTTTTGCTGGTCTCGGGAATTGAGCTGGTATCCATGGATCCTCCCAAACTGAGATGGATGCCCCAGAACCCACTCTTTTAATAAGTCCTTTAATAACCAGAGATCTAGCTGACAATATACTTCTCCAACCATAAGAAGGAGAGTATGATTTTATATTATCCAATGGATTGGATTTTCGAAAATACCGTCCTTTAAAAACCCTTGCAAAAAGTGAATCAGGAACCGTAATCAAACGCCATAATTGTTTTGCTAGTAATGCCGTATTAAAATCATCTACATTCCGAAATCCTACACCTCCTTCTGATTTACTACTGCATAGCTTATTCCAAGCCATCCAGTGCATTCCTCTCGACTCGCCGTTAGAACTCCACCAAAACTTAGCAACCGCACTTGTAAGTTTAGAAGTAATTGTTTTTGGTAACCTAAAGCAAGACATAACATATGTTGGTAGTGCCGCAGCTACCGATTTAATCATTACTTCTTTCCCACCTTTTGATAAAAATTTGGCTGACCAACCATTTATTCTAGACTGAAGTCTATCTCTGACAAAAGAAAAGATCTTGGTCTTCGATCCACCAAGACTTTCAGGTAAACCAAGATAAGATCCCATACCCCCGAGGTTTTGAATTCCTAGAACTGCTTTTATTTCTGCCTTAATAGAATCATCCACCTTATAGCCAAACTGAATCGGAGATTTTGAAAAATTAATTTGTTGCCCTGAAACCATTTCATATTGCTTTAGAATCCCCAAAATTACCCCGCATTGTTCTTTATTGGCTTTGCAAAAGAACAAACTATCATCAGCAAATAAGAGATGAGATACCGAAGGACTAGCTGTGGATACTCTAATACCAGTAATTAATTTTTGTTGTTCCGCTTTCCTTATATTCGCAATAAGCACTTCCGTACATAAAATAAATAAGTAAGGAGATAAAGGATCTCCTTGTCTTAATCCCCTTTCCGGAATAATTAGTCCTCGGGGTTGTCCATTAAGAAGAACTCTATATTGGACTGTTGTGATACACCACATCATCCACGAAATCCACTTTTCGCAGAATCCCATCTTCCTCAATAATTCTTCGATAAACTTCCATTCAACCCGATCGTAAGCCTTACTCATATCTGTTTTAATAGCCATAAATTTTCCTTTACAGGACTGGTTAGTTCTCAGACCATGAAACATCTCCTGAGCTAGAAGAATATTATCCGAGATTAGTCGTCCTTCTACAAAAGCCGATTGGGTTTCCGAAATAAGTTTTGGTAGTACCGTCTTAAGTCTTTGACAAAGGATTTTTGAAATAACTTTATAACCAACATTGCAGAGACTAATGGGCCGTAATTCCGTCATCCGGGTTGGTCGCTCCGTTTTTGGAATAAGACATATATTAGTCGTATTTAACCGTTTATCGAAAACTCCATCTCGTAAAAAAGAGTTTACGAGGATCAACAAGTCCGATTTAATAGTAATCCAGGCTTTCTGAAAAAACAAGGCTGTCATCCCATCAGGTCCTGGCGCTTTTTCCGGATGCATCATAAATAATGCCGCTCGGACCTCACGTTCCGTCGCGGGAGCCGTCAAAAAATCATTTATCTGATCCGTGATCAATGTTTTCACCTCTGCTAGGGACTCCTCAAAAGCATGCGGATTAGATGTAGTAAACAAATTTTTAAAATAAGAGACCGCTATGTTTTGAATATCTTTATCCTCTACAGACCATATCCCATTTTCATCATGTAAACCGGTAATCCGATTCCTTGCACGCCTCTGTTTTGTCAGAGCATGAAAGTATTTCGAATTATTATCCCCTAATTTCATCCAAAGACTCCTACTTTTTTGATACCAATATAGTTCTTCATCTCTATAAGCCTCTTTCAACCGCAATGTTAACTCCGTAATCTCCTCACGTGATCTCGTATCATCTCTTTGAGCCACATCGAGTTCTAATTTCAGATCCTCTATTTTTTCCCGTCCATAAGGAGATAATTCTTTCCGCCATTGTGAAATAGCCTTTCTACAATTAGTCAATTTTTCCACAAATTGTCCCTCTTCAGCACCGGAATCGAGATTCCACCCACTTGATATTGCCTCTAGTAACCCCTCTTTTCCAATCCATCTTTTATCAAACCTAAAAGATCGCTTACTCCGTGGTATCTTATCTAAAATTGTGGCTATAACTGGAGAATGATCAGAAGCTACCATTTGTAAATATTCAACGAAAGAATTAGGGAATAATTCATGCCAATCCTCATTTGCTAACGCTCTATCTAACCGACACCGTATAGGTTTTTTATCCCGCCATCCCCTCCAAGATAACCAATCTCCGAGATATGGAAAATCCAAAAGTCCACAATCGTTTATCATTAAATTAAAAGGGATAAAAGAAGAAGCATGTCTCAATTTACCACCTTTTTTTTCATGATTTCCGGTTAATTCATTGAAATCCCCTATCAAAAACCAAGGAGTATCTCGAGATATCCCGATTCGTGTTAACCGTTCCCAAACTTGGTCTCTATTTTTTGGTACCGGATCTCCATAAACAAAAGTAAGATTGATTGTTTTTCCTTTATAAATAGCCTCAATATCAATTAAACGATTACTTTCAAAAATAATTGAAACATTGTAATCGTTATTATAATAAAGAGCTAAACCGCCACTACAACCGATAGGATCTACCGTTTTTAAATTTTTATAACCAAAATGACCAACAAATTTTTCCATAAATAAAGAAGATTGTTTTGTTTCCGAAAGAAACAAAAAATCCGGCCGATGTTGCTTCCACAAATCCCGAAGATACCCGATAGTTGCCTTATTTCCGAGACCTTGACAATTCCAGCTTAAAACTTTCATTTATCAACCTTTGATTTAGGTGGGTTGCGTCCACCCGTTAATCCCTTCACCGTGCCATGGTGCGTTGGATTATAACCTTCATTCCCTTGATTATTTCTTAGAGAAACCCAATCACAGTTGACTATGGATATTCTTACCCTTATAGTATCCACATCCAACCATAAGAAACCAGAATTCAAACCGTAGTAAAACCGTTTGTTACAACCACTAAAACTCAACTCCATACACTCAAAATCCAAACACAACCGACCAACATCATACGCAGCCCAAAACCAAACTGCAACTAAAACAATCACAAATTCCAATAACAACACATCCCAATCCAAAACATGTATCCCACCGAAGCTCAACTCCAAAAACTCAAACTCCAAATACAAACGGATAAAAAACCATAATCGAAACAAATACCGACCCCCATCGATAACCATCATGTCAGTCACCATTGAATTCCCAGCGTTTTTTCCGTCAACTGCTGCCTCACAATCCATCTTCTCTGTCAATCCCTTTCCCAACAATCCACTGTGAGACATTTTAGAGAAACAAGACCCGAAAAAAGAATCACTCAACCACAATAAACTCACAAATACCACAAATGATGGATAAAAATCGAAACTGAACTCAAGAGAGAGATGTGTAAAAGTTAAAACCATTCGTCCCTTTTTAAACCAGTGAAACTCAGAAAACCAGCCCAATCTCTTACGATCCTCATTCAAGCCAGAATGATACCACACCAATGCGAGAATATCCATGATTCTCTCCAAACTTGCTGCCCAAAAAAATAGAGAAAAGGAGAGATGATTATCTTCCGATACCATATCTTGAAAACAAGAATCCTTTAGATCTTGAGAAATAGAATCTTTCCGATCTCTAGACCTCGCAAATATTGGAATGACCCTGATTTGATATCCCCATAATTCTGTGCCACTAAACAACCTTCCAAAACTCTCCACTACAACCAACCACCTCTTCGCAAAAACTAGAAGAGATCCAAAAAACTTTTCTCTAATCCCATCTGATACCTCAAATCTTTGACTCTGTAGACCAGCACCAATTAATACTCCGATCAAATCCTTCATCAGCTCCGTATTTAAGTATTCCTCATTAACCTTTAGTCGAAAAGCTTGCAAATTTCCAACAAAAACAAACAAACTAAGTCTTTGTTGACCTAAAACCACCCTTACATTATTCAGACCAGATACTGAATCCCACAGATTCTCACTCTCTGTCTCCGAAATTGAGATCCCTGCAGTCCCCATGGAGAAGGGAAGTTGCAAGATACCGCAGTGAAGCACCAAAGTACACCCACAACTCTCAGATTCTCTCTCCGAGACAAAAACCAGTCTTTCAACCATGGATCTGAAACAAGAAGCAACCGAAACTTCTGTTTCTTTCCGAAACCAGATCCGATTGGAGCTAACACCCCTCATAGATCCTGACCCGCGGACTGCGAACAGATCCGAGATCGACCCAGTAACCATAAGAACCAATCTTAGAACATAGATCCGACCATTGAACCACCATTGGGACCCGAGAAAGAAACGTAACAAAAGCCTCCGATCATAGCCCCTCATTGTCCCCAAAGAGAACCATCGGACTCCCACACCCATCCCGAATCCACCGTCGCCGGAGAAACAGAACGAATAGTGGGGTTCAAAACCCTAGCGCCGTCGTCATCGCCTCTCTCTCTCGCCCCATAAACTTCAATTAAACTTAATGAAAATATAAGATAGAAAATAAAAAAGAGAGCAAACACTAATCTAATATTAAATTGTATCAAAATTGTTTTAAATAGTGGAAATATATACCCTAATTTGGAAATAGGGAACCCAAATATAATACCACAAACTAATATTAAAATAAAAACCTCTTTTAAATGGTGAAAATATATACCCTAAATTGGAAATAGGGAACCCAAATATAATACCATAAACTAATATTAAAATGAATCAAAATCTTTTTTAAATGGTAGAAATATATACCCTAAATTGGAAATAGAGAACCCAAATATAATATTTAAAATTTATTTCTAATTTATTTTGTTGATTAGCTTTTATATAAAAATTGTGGTATTATTGGAAAAAAAAAGCTAGTGATAAAATTTTTAGAACAAAAACACTAATAGTAAGTTAACTAGTGCTATTTTTGGAAGTTTATGGAGTATGTGCTATTATTGTCAATAAAACTTGTTTATATGTTTATGGAATTTCTCGGAAAAAAAAGAGTCGCGGAAGAGAAGGTTAGGTACGTAAAACGAGACAAGCACGCCTCACAAAACGACACATGTTCTCCTTCGTTACCAACTACAAATAGTAACTCAAGACCGTCAAGCATCAGTACTTCTCGTAGAAGTCAATAAATGATTCTACACGTAAAAGAAACTAATGGTCAATAGTCATACCTACGACATAATAAATACATAAAATTACATATCAAACGCACGTGGATTCTACAGTTTAAAATTGCATTACGACAAGTAGCTAAGAAGACCAATTATATACTGACTCATTTCGCATTCCGTTTTCTCTCTTTTTTGTTTAAAGTCTCTTTAGATTGATTCCTATTTAGTTTTCAAGTACATGTAATTAGTTAGAATCATTCATACAATTCCAAGGTCATGCTAACGTGGCTCCATGCATGCAAGACGATCGATGACGTAACAAATATATACTTTCACCGGATGCATTTCTTCTCCTTCTTTGTATTTAGACAACTTTTCCCATGATACTTGTACGAACATTATTCCTTTGTCTACAAAAAGAATCTTAGACCGTAAGAATATATTGACCGTTTACGAAACTAACGACCCAATAAGAGAAACTAAAAATCCGTGTGCAGTGACGTTAAAAGTCTCCTTTTATGAAGTTACCAGGAAACTACATTATTTGTGCACATGTACTATACATATGTATATAAAAATACATATGTCAACAATGCCTATATATTTCGGAATAACTACTTTATGTACAATCTTGGCCTAACCCATTTTTTCAAGCTTTTGACAAAAATGTACACAGAACCCGGATTTCGATATTGTATATGCGTATAGACTAAAGATGACTAGAGACTTTTATCTCTCATATACCAAAGTTACGTACACACATATATGTACACGCATGCCTCATAGTTTGACTACGAGTTTTTCTGTTGTTATACACTTCCACGCGTGCATGCCTTTTTTCCATCTTTTACCGTCTCAATATTCATATATTTTGTTTACTGTTTCCCTAATTAGAATTCAAGTCAAATATCCACATCAACGTTATAAAAAAAGAGAACAAAAAGTCTAATGCATTTCCTATAATATGAATGTGAACAACGATGTTTTGGCATGCAACAGGAAGCTTCGTTTCATTACTGATGTATTAATTAATAACATAAACAAGATTTCGTGGAAGACAATATTGTAACCGTGTTACTTTTTTTTTTTTTTTTTGATATACCCTATCGGCTATCCGGTCGGCCCTGGTAGGAACGCATCGAGGTGCTACATAGTGGACTTGTCCACCGTGTTAACGGCTAAGCCCTTCGGGCTACCACTCTGCCTATCCCGAGTTTGGTGTGCTTTCCGACTAAGTGTCAGGGGGTAGTCAGGCCGCCTGCATTTCTGACTACCAGATAAACCAATTGGGTCAAAGCCCAACTGATAGACTTCCCAGATAATGTTGATAACAGCAGGAGGAGGAATCGAAACCGGAGGGGAGGGACTTTAACCGTGTTACTTTTTAAAGAAAAGATTACTGTTGGCCGAAAGAGAAATCGAAATTCATTATATAGTTTTAAAATGAGGTTTCTCAATGAATTATCATGTCGCATTCGTATGTCCTTGTCGTGGAAGGAGATGTTAATTTTCTAGAATGGTTTCGTGATATTTGTTTTATAATAAGCCAAAACGTGCTGACTCATTTACACTTATTATCCTATTTAATTTCTCATGCGGAAGTTATAAATTAATGACAAAAAAAGAAAGAGTTATAAACCAATAACTAGATGGTCCACAAACTAAAGTATAAGCTTTTTTATAACTTGTAGTGCCCTTCATATAGATACCAAAAGAGAATTTTTGATTTAGTGCATACATATATCAATATAACGCTGCATAATAATGAGTCCGATTGGTAACACAAAACTATACAAATTTTTTAGTTGTCAGCTAGAATTGTAAGTTTTTTCAGAATATTGCAAAACTGTAAGAAAGAGCTGTACAAGAAAGCTGTACAAAAAAATTGAGTGTAAGACTTTTAGTAATGTTTTTGATAAATCTTTTGTGATTGGTAACTGTCAAAACTGTACAGGATATACCGTTTTGATAATGGATTACCATTCAAACTCAATAATGTATAGGACAGTCGTGTAACGATATGACACCACTAATACAGTTCCAAGTAGGGGTGTCAAAATGGGTAACCCGACCCGACCCGACCCAAACCCATATAGGTTCGAGTGTTTAATGGACGGGTTTGACCCGACCCATATATTTATATGGGTTGAATTTACATACCCAAACCCATTATTGTAGAAATCTATTGGCTTAATGGGTTATATGGGTACCCATATATATGTATAATAAAATATATAAATAATAAAAATCCAAAAAAATAACATAAAATTGTAAACTAACAAAAGTTTTTAAATAATAAATTAAAAAAATCTAGATTTTATACATATATTTTACTTTTTACTTTTATTTTTAGGTAAAATGTAAACTTTAATAGTTATTTTAGATATTTTACATATATAGTTGTAAAGAAAAGAGATATTTTACATATATTTATATAAATTTTACATAATATATTAATATAGATATATATAAATTTTACTTTTTAGTTTTGGTTATGAAATTCATGGGTAACCCATGACCCTAATGGGTTTTACCCATTAAACCCATAACCCTAATAGGGTAACCCACTAAAACCCATTTATATATATGGGTAAAAAAATTCTACCCAAATCCACTAAAATCATAGGCGGGTTTGGGTAACCCATGGGTATTAACCCATTTTGACACCCGTAGTTCCAAGAGACGTTATAATCGTATGCAATCATATGCGTAGATTTTTCAACAGTTTCGTTTATAGGAACTCACCACTTTTGCTATAGAGTACTTTAAAATAAAATAAAAGTAGAGAACTTCTCAAATTTGAGCATTTAGTTGCACTCATGAATATATAGTTTACAATTGGACTAAATAATTAATACAGATTATTGTTTTCCAAAAAGAGAAAAAACAATTAGTCGTCGTCTGTATTTTGAAAATTATTAATATATTTTATGCATATAATTTGTACAATAAGATTTGCTCAGAGTGGACTGTAAAAGTGGAAAAAATAATTATTAATGGAAATAAAATGCCCTGAACAATATAATGTAATATTTAAGAGATCATACCTAAGCTAGAGATTAGAGTTATAACTACACGATACAGAAAATATTTAACGGTAACTACCGAGATCTGATAGATAAACCTTCATTTTCAAGTATATTATATATTGTTTATGCACTATCAAACCAAGCTATAAAAATATTATTCTCTTCAGTTCTCTAACCATAACAATTAAACTATATTTTAGCGAAGAAAAGAAGAGAATACCGAGAGAACGCAACTTGCACCAAAAGCTACCACTTTGGCAAATCACACATTTATATTATTATATACTATCACCTCAATTTCAATCGAAACCTCAAAATAACACATTAATAATACACAAAAAACAACAGAATAACACGAAAATATAGGTTTAGGAAAATCCATAATTTGTTGAGACTAATGGGATCAAATCTTTGATACAACGTTTGCTTAGATTATATTTTTCACTACCTTGATTTTTGTTCTCGTGATAAAATTCCTTTATTTCACAATTATCACAATATTAATTTCTTTTTATTATTATAAGAACACACGATGTTAAAAAGATTTATCTCTGTGCTGTCTAATTTGAATTTGAATTTTAAGTTAAATACTACACGTTTGTTGAAAACTGATTAAACTTTATAAGTCTGTTACAAATATTGTCAAATACTGATCAAAATTAATGGACCAAAACCCTTTAACTTTCAAGTTATAAAAAAATTCTAAAAAATATTCGGTATTGGCTCCTATTTTATCATATTTGCATCAACATCAACTTAGAAACTAAGAATATGCGACCCAAAAAAAAAAAAAACTAGGAATAAAAAGTAAAATAATAATTAACCAAATGGAATGATGCGGCAGGAGAGTTACAATGAGGAAGCACTTTCACACTCTTTGAGAGGAAGTTTATAAATTGACCACACATTAAGTCTATTCTCATTACATTAAGACTTGACAACTTGTCTTTCTCATACCAAACCCCTCTCCTCTGTTTCTTAATACCTTCTCTGTTTTTTCTCCCCTAAGCCCCTAATGACAAACCATAATGCCTTAATCTCTGATGCAAAAGGCAGCATAGGAGTTGCGGTTAGAGTTCCAAATCAATCTCTGTTTTCTCCCGGAGGTAGCCGATACATCAGCATTCCCCGGAAGAAACTTGTACAGAAGCTAGAGACCGACCCGAGTCAAACCCGAACCCACTCTTGGATCGAAGCCATGAGGGCTTCTTCCCCGACCCGAATCCGACCGGGGAACATATCCTCTCTCCCGGAGTCCGATGAGGAAGATGAATACTCTTCTTGGATAGCTCAACACCCATCGGCTTTAACCATGTTTGAAGAGATCGCTGAAGCTTCAAAAGGGAAACAAATCGTTATGTTTCTTGACTACGACGGTACATTATCGCCCATTGTAGAAAACCCGGATCGGGCTTACATGTCTGACGAGGTTTGCTTCTCTTCTTACTTCTTAATTCCTTTGTTTTCGGGGTTTTTCGGTTTTCTAACAACTTTCAATCCTTAGATGAGAGAGGCAGTGAAAGGCGTGGCTAGATATTTCCCGACCGCGATTGTCACTGGAAGATGCCGTGATAAGGTACGTTTTAACATTTTTTTTTTCTCAATCTATTATAAGAAAAACAAAAAAAGATTAGTCTAGTTTCGGTTAAGAAACATTTGGTTATTTAAAAAATTAACTAACGTGTTTATTTGTTTTTATATTTGGTAGGTTCGTAGATTTGTGAAACTTCCCGGACTTTACTATGCCGGTAGCCATGGAATGGACATCAAAGGACCTTCCAAAAAAACAAAACATAACAAGGTATTATCATAAACCCTTATATATTAAAGTATATAGATTGATAAAGAGACTAACTAAGCCTTAATGTTTTTTTGGAACAATACAGAACAATAAAGGTGTTCTTTTCCAAGCGGCGAATGAGTTCTTGCCTATGATTGACCAGGTCTCCTACCTTTTTCTAGTTCTCTATTTATTTATGCGTCAAATTCAAGCTACTTAATATAACAACATATTGGTCTCTAACTAAGATAATACGAATCTCTTAATCAGGTCTCTAAGTGTCTAGTGGAGAAAATGAGAGACATAGAAGGAGCAAACGTCGAGAATAACAAGTTCTGTGTCTCCGTACATTACCGTTGTGTTGATCAAAAGGTAAAAAAAAAATGTTAATCAAGATTACAAATATTTTCTTTATTTTTTTCACACTTTTTGTCTAGAAAGTAATTATAACGTATGGTTCATTTGTAATGATAGGACTGGGGATTAGTAGCGGAACACGTGACATCAATATTGAGTGAGTATCCAAAACTGAGGTTAACACAAGGAAGAAAAGTTTTAGAGATTCGACCAACCATCAAATGGGATAAAGGCAAAGCTCTCGAGTTCTTGCTCGAATCTTTAGGATTCGCTAACTCTAACGATGTTTTGCCCATCTACATCGGAGATGATCGTACGGACGAGGATGCTTTTAAGGTATATTTTTACCATCTGCAACATAGTTTTAAACCTAAATATTTTCACTATTTATAACTTATATATTTTACAGATAAATTAAATAATATATTGGTTGGGTTCAGGTGCTGAAAAAGAAAGGACAAGGCTTTGGTATACTTGTGTCCAAAGTTCCAAAGGAAACGAGTGCTACATATTCTCTACAAGAACCTTCCGAGGTAATATTAATTATTTGTTCTTTGAGTTTTAGTTTATTATTCTCTTATTTTGCTTGAGGACTAACAACTTTTTTTTTTTGAATAATGTTTTGAACAGGTAGGAGAGTTTTTGCAGCGACTCGTGGAATGGAAACAAATGTCACTAAGAGGAAGATAGCCAGTTTCCTGACTTTAATTTATTTTCAATTAAATAAATGAATTAGTTTTCACTATGCAACAAAAATTGTTGTATGATCGATGTTTTTTTGTTCCCTCTCTTTTTATGTTTTAATGATTTTAGTCTTCATGAACAAATGTAAGTTTATAGGAACTTTCTTAAAAAAAATAAATAAGAAATGTAAGTTTGCTAGTATAACTATTTACATCATTCTCTTTTTAATATCGTCCATTATTATTAATTTAGAAACCAAGAAAACATAGCAAGTACATAATCAATCAAATACAAATTAAACCACTACATATATATATATATATTAATATATTTAAAGGACGATAAAATTAACAAAACAAAAAATCACACGATACTTCTCTCCATAAGCCTTACTCGATAATAGAATATCCACTCTATGATTTGCTTTCCTCGTATTCATCCTCAATCTGAAGTAATCTTCATTACATTAACCAAGCTCCAATGTCGAAAAACGATTCCATCATTCTTCTATATGTATGATGTACCCATTCGAAATATATATAATTCATATAATGTATTTTGAAAAGAAACATAATCAAGATGTAAAATTTTCTAATTAAATCTTATTTCAAATGACATATATAGTTTAATTAGTATTTATTTTAATACTGACCAAAAATAATTGTATTTTAATGGTTTCTAGGAATGATTATAGTAATAATTAAAAGTTTTAAATTTGTTGATCCACACTAATTCAGTCCTAAGTATTTATTTTATTTTTTGGTCAACAATCCAATGGTATAACGTAAATAATCTATTTCCTAACTATCATTTTATTCGAATTTCGGACTTGACAACACTAAAATAGACCAACTAAAGATTGATGAAAATGTACCCTACCATATACACAATATCATGTGGAGGTACACTTTGGAACCTAAAGGAACGCTCGCTTTCGTAAGAAATATTTTATTTCAACCAACATAGCAAATGAATAAGATAAAACAAATTGCATTGTTTCAAAAATGCTTTTTCATGTAAAAACTGACACATACCTTTTAAAATGATTTTTGTAGGCTGTGAAAAATAGGGTCTTTGTCAAAAATCTTGGACTCTTGCCCAAGCCTTAGCTTGCAAGCATCCATGTCACCAACTTTTAAACTAGAATTACCTTTTCTTTATTTTATTTTATTTTTGTAAAAGAAAATTTGTACATGTTTTTACTTTGGATTTCCAGTTCAGTTATTTTTAATCTCTACATTTATTACAGTAAGATCAAATGGTAGGGTTTGCTTCAGGTGGCATGCATTAAAAGTGGAATTTAATAGAGAAAACATAAAAATGGCTACATGCTATATAATTCTCTAATTATCTAAACCATCGAAGTCTGTAGCCAATGTGTGATGAAGAGCTCCATGTAAAATCATGAAAATATAATAGAAGATCTGATGATTAATGTATGGAGGTCTCAAGAAAATTGAACAAGTGGGAATGATGATAACAAAAACAAAGATAGATAGTAAAGCTATCGAAAATTGAACAGTTGAGATTTGGGGATGCTACCATTTGAATGTAAAGATATTACAAGTAGATTAAAGACCATGTGAGCTCAACTGTATTTTCAATAATATTTCCTCAGTTGAATATGATTGACCACTTTTCATTTTAAGTAATTGAGTAATTCTCTCCTTCTCTCTAATTTATGAGAGAACCCCACTTAATTATCTTAAAGTGAAACTACATACATTTCGTTGTTTTCATTTATATAGCTCATCATTCATCTATTTTCATAATTATATTTGGATATATAACTTTTAACCAAAGTTTGTTATGATCAAAATTATTATAAAAACCCTAATTTTTATGTGTAAGTGATCAAAATTCAACTAAAGAAATATGATTGAGGAGGCGAAAATCCACTTCCTAAAGTTAGTGGATAAACAAACTAAGAAAAGAGTACAATCGAATAGGTTTCATAATGCATAGAGCCAAGAAAAGAAAAAGAAATTATACATAACAAAAGGTTAAGATACTTTTATCACATGTGTAAAGATAAAACCAAAAAAGAAGAAGAAGAAGACATTGGAACCACTTTGAAACCCACAACATTGATTTCTTTACTTGAAATAAACTATGTGCCATAAACTCCAATTATTGATTGAAGATATAGACTTTTGGCACGAATTTTACAAGTTCACGGGGGTACCTACACATTCATACAACACGTTCCCACTTTTATCACTATTTTCTTCACTATCTTTACCTTTCCAAGTCATTTCATGTGTTCACTTTGTTTCATTCACTCACTAAACCCTACCAAAATCTGCCTTTACACTATATAACATATATAGGTTCTCTAGAAATGCACATGTTATTGAGTATTTGCAAATACACACATAACTATAGATATTGATGTAGCTATATATGTACCATTTAGTTGATATTGATTGGATGGTTGGATGGTCCTAAGTTTGCTTTGTTATAATATATTGGTGGTCCATCAATTAATCACATGTCCGAAAAGTTGATTCTAATTCTTAAGGCTATATGCACTAATTTCACAAATCATTCATTCGAGAAACATGTATCCAAGTTACCAGCATCTTATTAAAGTACCTACACTAATCAAAGGATCATAATCTAACAAATATTTATAATCGGAAAAGTAAAAGTTGATTTATTCACATTTTCACGATCTTTCCAAAATCTTTCCATGAATAATTATACTTATGACTGCATATTTTGTTTATTTATTCTTTCAGAGTTAGTCTCGATGGTACAATCACCTGAAGAATGGCCCGCTTTCTCCAATCTGCTAGATGCTTTTGGACTGCTCCGTGACTCCTTCCCTTCATTCTCGCTTTCTCTTATTCCTCGTTTATGTAATGTTAAGGCGGACTGCTTAGCCCGTTCTTCTAGACTTTTATTTTCCGAAGTTACTTTTGTAAACACTACTCCTCCTAATTGGGCAACCAATCAAGGAGATTTTTAATAATTAATGTGTGGTTGACAAAAAAAAAAAAAAAACTTGCTAGTGCATTTACGCCTGTAGTTAATAAAGTTATACTCCCTTCGTTCCTTTATATAAGATTGATGTTTTTCAGCTTTTGGTTTGTTTTATTTCATTTTTTTTTTCAAGTTTCTAGACAATATATATATATTTATTAAATATTTTATAACTATTTAAATTCTGTAATAATTTTATGAATTAATTTTTTCTATATATTAAATAATTTTTTTTTAATCTCTGTGCTTTTAATCAAAAAATATTACATAAAAAACGGAGGGAGTAATATTTTAGATTCTTGAAAGCTTTATCAAATTCTTGATACAAATTTAATGAATATATGAGTTCTTTTTTTTTTTCTTTTTTTTTTGTAAACCTAATATATGAGTTCTTTAACATATGTTTTTTTTTTATGTAACCTCCCGTCGTTTGTGTACCTGGGATGCTATATCCAGATTCAATGCGGCATCCAAACTCATCATCTAGATGTTACTTGTTTCTAAAATCGGTTTTGCATTTTAAAAATAAATCGTTTTTTTTGGATCTAGATGTTGTTTTAGTTTATTGATAACACTTCAATAATCTACAAAACACATTATATAACTTCTTTAATCATTTTCATTATCCAGTTAACAATTTTCATCTGACAAACAAGCAATTTACATGACATTAATCATATAGTCATTGTGTCTAAAACTCAATCGACTATATTTAATAAACTGAATATAGTTCAGATACTGAATATAATATTTGATCTAACAAGCTGAATAGTTTTCTTTCAATCTAGAAAGTATAAATTGGACATATCAATATATAGTAAGCTCCAAGACCTCGAACCTATAGACTTATTTAAAACATAAGTTGCATAATCAGCAGCCAATAAAATTGATATGGTACAAATATTCATGTGTCATGTGTATAATATCTTCTTTTAAAACTGGTTTGGAGTTGATTCCAATGAACTCAAATGTGGTTGGGATTCTTAATCCTTGCTATAAAATAATCACAACTCACAAGTAATTATGGAGATTAGTGGAACTAATTAGAGCTTCCAAAGTTTGTGTCTGTGTGAACACTTAGAAGGAATATACACGTGTCAGTCTTGATGATGGTCCCCTCCTCCTCCCACATCGGAGCTTTCGTCGATTGTGTCTCTAATTATTTTATTCAGATTTGGTACAGAACATATATAATTTACCTAATAATACTTTAAAATAAACGAAAACTTTTTGTATAAAGAAATAATTGTTTCTAATTTCTATTTTCATACGTGTATTTATTTATCCTACTTAGTTCTATTGAATGTATTTGACTTGTCATTGTGTCTAAATACATTTATGACTTATGAGCATGTACATAAACTAATATTTTATTTTCTGCTCTTTGATTTAAGGCATCTATTTAGCTTAAAATTTTGATCATATCTATGTATATGTCCGCTTGTAATTTTTCTAAATTGATGAAAATGAGGTTATTTACATTTCATTTAGTGAAACAAGCTATTCCTAAGCCTTTAACAGATAAATAAATCTATAAATAAACAAATAAACATGCTATGCCACATTTAATATCAGAAAGAAAGAAAAATCAAATATTTGAGATAAAACTGTAAAGCTTTTATTTTAACTATTTTTTATTTTTTAAATTGGACTTAATCTCCGGAAAAATCTCGTCTCCTACCGACCTTGTATAGAAAAATATTAACTATTTTCATAGAACTTCTAGTTTTTTAAAGTTCTAATACTAGAATTTCTAATGAAAAAAAAATAATACACACTCGAGGATTTTGGTTTTCCTATTAACGTAAAAGAAAATTAAAAAAATAAAGGTGATGTTTTTTTTTTATTACGGCAAATCACCTTACTATAGTGTATTACATTTTATTTGTCTCAAAGGTGATGCCGTGATGGATGGGTGTGGGTCATAGATGGCTTTGATGTCTAATACATCAATTGAACCCAACCAAAGCCCAATAGCGTCCCTAACGAAAACTTTTTGTATAAAGAAAATTATTGTTTCTAATTTCTATTTCCAGACGTGTATTTATTTATCCTACTTAATTCTACTGAATG